GTGTGTGTGGTGTGTGTGTGTGTGTGTGTGTGTGTGTGTGTGTGTGTGTAAAATACCATCAATTGATCTGATTGCCTAAGCACTTCCTGTTTTGCATTATCAAACATGTTACATTTGAATGACTCAATATCATCCAGTAGCTTTTTCTGCTTCCTCTTCAGGGATCCGTCTCCTTTGTACTCTGCTGCTTCTAACATGAACAATATTCTCTATTTATTTATCTCAAACTGCATGGATTGACATCAGGAAATGCAATGGAAACACATGAAATAATATATAGCATTAAAAATATAACTTTTAAATTAATTTTTAGAATTTTGAGAGGAGAAAATTAAAAGCAAAACAAATAAAAAAATGAAACTCACAATCACCGAGGTGTATGTGATTTGTGGTTATATATTTTTTCACGTTGGCTCACCTTCATAGCAAGAGGTCATTGCAGTCTTAATGGTTGTTTGGATTGATGTGTAGATTGTCTTCTTTCTTATAACAACTTCTTCTTTGAGTTTTTTTTTCTGTTTGAGTTCCTTTATAAAGGGTGTAAAGGAAATAAACGTGTAATAATACAGGGTCAATATTAAAAATGTCAACAAAGTCTCACAATGGACACATCATTCAACTAATCTGTCTCTTCCAATTTTTTCCAGAATTGCAGGTAATGCTGGAAAAAACAAACGTATACTACCATGCTGTTGTAAAGGTAGCAAATACGGAACCATGCAAGTTATGCTTATTAAAATTAACAAATAAATAAAATAAAACAGCCCATCACATATTAAAATAGGCTCTGCCTAAAACAAAATCCACCTGACCTGTTACATTGGTGCCGTGACCCGGATTCGAACATGGGGTTGCTGCGGTACCAATGTCACAGGTCCCTCTCGCCTGCTCCGAGTGAGTCTCAAACCCAGGACTCCGGTGTGGGAAGCGGACGCACTAACAAGGAGGCTAAAGACTGCAGCCACTAGCGTCAGTCGCTAGTGCGTCTCTTGAGGTCAGGGGAGTGAGGTTTACCTGCACAGCACCTACTCGCTGGCCTCTGTTACACTCACCCCCCTAAGCCTCACTCCCATCTGGGGTTATGCACAATGTCAATGTTACTGTTCCTTATACCGAACTTGACCACATCCCTTGCTTTGCCTCTTAGATGGACCAAAATCTCCTCCGTTTGCTGCTCTTTCCCCAGATTGTTCCGTTTCATGTAGTCTCTCACGATAGGAGAGCTAGGAGGTTCTTTCACATTTCTGGAAAACGACAACTGGCTTTGTATTAAGTCCAGCATTTGTGAAGCTGTACCGTCTGTCGTCACTTTGTTTGGTGACTATGCTATCAGCAATTTGCTGACCGACTTGGCTGATTATGTCTGTCACTGCAGTGATTGCATCTGGGGGCTGTGTGTTAGGGAATGGAGTAGACGAAAACACACCTTGTTGCTCTACTGAAGCATCTGATTCATGACTAGTTAATGGGCCCTCACAAACTAATGGATCTGAATTGGAAGCATGACTGTTTATGAGCACATGTGCATCACTCAGAACATCGGGCCCACTGAACTGTAATGACTTTGGTACTTTCAATAAACCCCATCCTCTACCTTTACTTCCACAGACTGGAGTGTTATAGTCATCAAAACCACTCATAGTGAATATCAGTACACATAAACAATGAATAAAATAGATCGAAGAAAATCTAGAAAGTGCTGTTGAAAGCAAGCTGTCCTTTGTAAATGTCTCTAAATCTCAAATTCTTCAAAGGCAGTCACTGAGTGAATAAAAAAAAGTGAATAAAGTTTCTCCTGTCCTCTTTTTTTTTTGTACAAGATTGTGTCCACCTGACTCCAGCGAAAACTTTAAGATGAACCCTCGGCCGCCTCAGATACCATCTTGATTGAAGAAACACTGAGTCACGGCACCAATGTGACTGTGTTGGAGTAATTCACACGGAGATCAGGTGGATGGTCACTTAAGTTTATAATTTCTCTGTATTAATGTGAATTGACTGTATTAGTGTTTTGTTTTGTTTTATTTTATTTAATGTATGCTTTATTTTGAGGTTTTTGTCCACTATATGCCACGTGCACTTTTGAGAAAATGTGAGTCTCATATCTCCCTGCTGCTAAGACTTCTCATGCAACATCGATGCACTATATTCTAACCAGCCTTTTGGTCTTGTTTGTACCAGTTTTGTCTGCCAGGCCCAGTAAAGCAACCTTGAGTGACCAGCCACCTGATCTCAGTGTGAATTACTCGTGAATGTCCTTGAGTGGCCCAGCCAGAGCCTGATGGAGAAGGGCTTTGGTTAGAATGGTGACCAAGAAGCTGATTGAGCTCCATGATGTGGAGATGGGAGAAAAGGACAAACATCACTGCAACACTCCACCAATCTGGGCTTTATGGCGCTGTGGCCAAACTCAATCCCTCTCTTCAGTTAGGACACATGAAAACACACTTGGAATTTACAAAAAAAAGCACCCAAAGGACCCTCAGACTCAGAGAAACAAGGTTCTCTGGTCTGATGAACCTCAATTCTAAGCATCATGTTTGAAGGAAACCAGCTCTGCTCATCACCTGCAGAGTACCATCCCAAAAGTAAAGTGTGCTGGTAGCAGCCTCATGCT